AAAAAAAATTGAAACTTCATACAAAATACTCATCTCTCCATGATGCAATAAATTTCACATAAAAAAAATTGCATTCATCACCATCTCAATTATTAGTGTTCATCAAATTCATGCATCTACAAATCTATTCAAACCAGAGCTTAAAAAAATTCTCTTGTAGCTTTGATTCAATGTATACTCAGATTTGGACACTCAAATTCATTATTACAGTCATTTACAAATTTTAATCTCTAAATCTATAAAGTCAATAGTTTTTGCAAATTATATCACGCTAAATGTAAATTTGCAATTTGATTCGTAAAATATTTTTTAAAATTATGAACTTTATGCAATAATTTATAAAGCTGGCCCTCTCGGCCACCTCAGATTCTCCATTTTACGTCTGAGATTGAGGAAAGCGAAAGAGGGCGGCAAAAGGAAGGAGGGAGAAAGCAACCTCCGATGGGACGCGGCGGCGACGGTGATGTCTCCTCCCGTCGCCTGCTCAGTAGCATGGACATATCGCCGGCGGAGGATGCGAAGGGGGAGAAGGCGGAGGGGGTCCTTTTATGGTGGCGGCGGTCCAGCCGGAGGAAGCTCCGTCTTGTTGGGTTCGATGAGCTGCCAGATTACCTCAAGGACAACGAGTTTATCCTCAATCACTATCGCGCTGACTGGCCGCTTCTTGATGCTCTTCTCAGCGTGTTTTCCTGGCATAACGAGACCCTCAATGTCTGGACGTGTGTAGATCGATCGATTTCAGATCGGAACCCTAGCTACGTTTTTCTTCTTTATGTGCGGCATTTTATTAGTAATTGATCATTGATTGGAAGGTTATGATTGCATTTGTCAGGCATTTGGGGGGTTTCTTCCTATTCCTTGCGCTCACTGTGGCGGGATGCGTCGACGGCCTTGAAAAGCTCCGCAGCAACTTCGCTCCCACCATCTCCAGGCTTGTTGCTTCTGTTCTGATATTTTTTATTTGTTTGTGTTTTAAAAATATTCTCTGATTTTTGGCTGAAACTACTTTCTCGTTGCAGGATGATGCTTTTATCGATCAATGTTCCGATCCGTAATAACTACTCGGCAAACACTATCTCGGTAAGACAAGCGTTTCTCTGTATTTCGTTTTGTGT